GGGTTTAGAGAAGGAGAGAGCCGCACTCCAACTCTCAAGCCAAGTTTAATTTTTAATTGAACTAGGACTACAAAAAGACCATTTGCATTATGTATCTATAGAGAACAGCAGAAACAAACATTTGGGAAGATTTATAAAATTTTATCCTGTTGGAACTGTGCTATATCAATTGACCAATTTAGTCTTTTCCTTGGGACATTTTCTCTGGATGATTTGTTCTTTCTCTTCAAATTCCTTACCTGGATACATTCATTCTCCTTGAAAGAGAAAACAAAAACCCTTCCCTCCTCCTAACTTTGGGGAGTTTCCCTTTTGGCAAGTTTTAGCTGATAAAAAAAAAAAAAAAAAAGCATTTGTTAGTCTTATACGTTAGTTTAGATTGAGTGGTCATGCTGTTTGATGAACCATCACCTCTTCTAATCAAGAGGTCTCTCATTCAAATCTAATTTTTATAATATTTGTTATATGGTTTCTCTTGATATTTTGGTCTTATTTTCTTAAGCTGACCTATCATCCAGAGCAGTATGTTTTTTTACAAAAGGCATTGGGCCCTTTATTTGTTCTGGGTAGGAGTTTCCCCCATGGTGACAGGGAATGGGGAAAATGAACCAAATTTGACATGGGGGCCTACAAGAGATCCCTTACCTGTTCCTTGTTGATCTGCATTCATTTGTCCAATGTCAGCTTTTGCCACACCTTCTTCTGTTTGTATTATTCCTAAAAAAAAAAAAAAAAAAAAAAAAATTGTTTTTAGGAATGCCGTGCCTACAATCCCTTTTTAGGTGACCTTGTTTGCCACAATTAAAACACCTGATTTTTCCTGAAGCCTCTGGCAATCACCTCTCTTATCCAACCATCATCATATTTATGAGATTCAGTATTGACTGTATCTTGGATTCATTCCTCTATGGGTGCTGATCTTGCCTTTAAAGGTGTAATTGCCCTTTTGCATTGTGAATTAACATTTTCAAAAGCCAAAGATTCAATTATTACTTGCCTAGTTTCTGAATTTGATATCATTCTATTTTTAGCTCAAGTCAATCTTTGTAAAAAATCAGTGAAGGTTTCTTTTGGGCCCTGTATAACTTTGGTAAATGACTCAGTTCTCTTTCTGACTTCTTCAATTCTGTCCCAAGCATTCAAAGCTGCTGCATAGCATAGAACCAGGGTGTGGTCATCATATAAAGACTATCTTTGTACATTAGCATAATCATACTCTCCATGAAGTTATTCATGGGAAATTTTAATACCTTTAGCCCTACTTCATTGTTCAATGGTCCTAGCCTCGTCTTTCCACCAGGTCCTCCACTGTAATTGAGGACCAGGTTTTAATACTGCTGCAACCAAGTCTTTCCATTCTTGTGGGACAATTCTGTTACTAGTTGACCATAAATTTAACATCTGCTTCACAAAAGGTGAATGCATGCCATATGAGACTATTACTTCCTTAAGTTACCTCAAATTTAACATTTCCACAGGAATCCAGTCAGTTCTTTCATAGCCTTGGGGATGCCTGTCATTTGGCAGTTGTTCCTGTAAGGAAACTGGATAAATTAAGGTTGTTTTTTTGATAATCTTGGGCTGTTCCTCTCTAATTTTAGAATGTAGTGGTAAGGTTGGTTCTCCTTTAAATTCCTCTGTCTGTGTCTGAATATCTATATTATTTATTTTAACAGGTTTTTCTAGTGCTTGTAAGTTATCAGTCAAAATTGTATTTTTTTTTTTTTTAGTAATTAGTTGTAAGGCTTGCATATTATCTGTAGTAACCATTTCTAAGGCCTGTATCATGGCACTCATATCAACCAACTTACTTAGGGATAAAACAAGAATTATAATTTTATAATGTTTATAATTGACATTATGTAAATCCTATCCAAGTTATTTATCCCCTCATTTAATTGTTCCACTTTAAATTTTTTTTTTTTTTTTTTGGTTTTTCAAGACAGGGTTTCTCTGTGTAGTTTTGGTGCCTGTCCTGGATCTTGCTCTGTAGACCAGGCTCACCTCGAACTCACAGAGATCCACCTGGCTCTGCCTCCCAGTTGCTGGGATTAAAGGCATGCACCACCACAGCCCAGCTAATTGTTCCATTTTTAAACCATCCATTATGTAATCATACTGAGAGCTAACTCCCTCCATTGTTTTAGTATTTCCCATTTTTTAATGTGGGAAAAAACTCTCTTTCTCTCTTTTTTATAAACTACTTCCCCTCTTAAGAATTCCCAATTGTCTCACCAAATCTGTTGATGATGATGGCAAAGTGGGAGGCTGGTTGCTGCTGTGTAGCATGTCTAAGTGGAGAACAGCCCAGCTGAGAACAGTGTCAGCAGTCTGAGAAGAGGGTCCAGGGAAAGCCCACAACCCATGGGAGGGGGAGCCAAAGAGCTACCCTTCTGCAAAGGGTAATGTGTGAAAACAGCACATGTGATCAGCACAAAGTGAAAGCACAGAGCTATCTGAAGGCAGAGCTGGCTGGTGGTGAGGGGCTAACTCCAGCAGTGTTTGGAGCCCAAGCACCTGTGGAGTTTGCATAGAGAGGCTGCAACAGAAACATCTCAGACTTGATCAGAGGGCTTGGGGGAGAAAGGGAAATCAAGCTGATGGTGTGGTGACTCCACTGGATACAGTTCCTACATGCAGCCCTGTTATGTGCCGGTGGGTGAAAAGCCACTGGCAAGCAGCTTTTTTGTGAATTTGTGCCCCAAAAGTTGGGTGCCATATGAAGCATAAATCTAATTGATCTTTTCAGTAAAATCCAGGAGTCAGGTATCAGAGTAAAAACCTGAAAGATTAGAGAAGCAGGAGAGCAGCCACAGTCGCTTCCTTCCTCTTCCATTACTCCAGTCCAAAAAGGCTGAGATCCTGTCTCCACCCCGCCTTACTACTTCCTGTTTTGTCTCTGCACAGACCTCTAGACCTCTATGATTAACTAGTGGCTATCTCAGCCCTCTGACTCCAAGCAAGATTTATTTTTCAGAATACAAACAAAATATCACACAACAATCATCGGGTAGCGCCAAGAGCTTTTACTTACAGTGCCATCTCCCTAGCCCAAGACATACAATGTTTAATTCTTAATTACATTGAATATAGAATAACTGTGTTTTACATACATAGCTATTATACTTAATTTTGATTAACTAAACTTTGTCTCATGTACAGAAAATAGAGGACAATAACTACAAAACATTAAGATGAAAATAATTGTGTAAACCCAGTCTCATTTCCAAGTAGTACATCACTTGGTTTTTATCTGGGTTAATAGAAACTATAGCAAGTAGCAAGTCAACTGGAAGAAATGTGAGAAACTTTCAAAAAAATTTATGAGACCAATAACATTGTTAAATATGTTATATTAGTTTTAATCCATATAAAAACTAAAACACTTGAGTGATGGAATGATCATGGAGCCTACTTACTGAACTTGAATTCATTTCTCAAATATTCAAACAGTTGCCTTGTTGAAACACTGTATGGTTTAGAAAGTTGTGTTATATAATTTTACATCTTTTATAAAAGGATAGATAATATTGGACAGAGTATCTCTGCACTGACAGAGGCCATGCCTCATGGTTAATTGGTGGTAGGAAAGTGCCTAAGTCTAATAAAATAATAATAGTTATCTCCTTTTCTGTCTGTAAAAACTGAGGGTAAAGTTTCTGAGAATACATAAGAAATTGAAAACAGACCTTGACAGGTAGCCTTTCTGAAAGGAAAGCTATTTTGCTACTTCTTTTCTTGTATTCCTGGAAGTGATAGTTACTAAGAATCCAGATAAACTGTGAAAAACATACTCCAGAGTTAAATAAGTGAAAGTTCTCTTCACTTTCCTACTGAAAAAAAAGGAAGAATTTCATTAAATCAAAATATCTCTGTCTCTCTGTATCTGTCTCTCTATTGCTGTCTCTGTCTCTCTCCCTCTCTCTACCTCTTTCTCTCTCTCTCCCTCAGCAATAATTATACACCCTTTTTTTTATATCTACTAAAACATTCTTGGGACTAGAGAGGTGACTCAGTAGTTCAGAGCATGAGTTCAGACCTAGCACCCACATGAAAGCTGGGCATGGTCCTCACACACACACTTGTAACTCCCATGCTGAGGTGACAGAGATAGAAAGATTTCTGTGGTTACTGGCTGGTAGTCTAGCAAGCAGTCTAGCTAGTGCTAGGTTCAAGGGACCCTTTGTCTAAAGGGACCAAGATGGAAAGTGATAAAGGTGGAAACCTGGTGCCTTCTTCTGGCTTGCAGGTTTTTTTCCTAGTCTGACTTGCCTCTGGTTTTTGGACTTTGGTCATGATTGCTTTCAATATATCTCATGTTTATCATCATTATTATTGTTGTTATTGTTATTATTATTGGGTTCTGGACATTTTATTATGTTATTATTATTGGATTCTGGACCAACAAGTACATGTAAGCTGATCACTTTAATTCTTTAAGGATTGGCTTTCTGCTCTATTGTAGCCAGTTTATAGCTGCTTATTTCTAACCCTCCCTATGGTTTCAGGTTAGGCTTGGTTTATATCTGTGCCATTGTACCTTGAAGACCCTAAGGTCATCTTCTGTCTCCAGCATTGTTTGATTGCTGAAACCTCTGCTTTGCTTTCTAACTTCCCAGCTGCTTCTCTGCTGAATTTCCTGGAGTTTCACCAAGAAACTGCTTCTGCAGCATGGGAACTGGAAGATGCCTTTAGAAGACTTTGCATGTAGCCTTTGTAGGCATTTCCCTGCACTTCCTCCTTTATCTGTAATTCTGTCCCCTGCATTCCAGCTGCATTGACTTCCCTGTACTCAGAGCCTGGTGTCCTCAGGCCAGGGAATCTTTTGTTTCCTGTGTGTAATCTATTTCTCACTATAAATTAAATTCATTCAGGTCTAGCCTGCCTTTGCCAGATGTTTTAGTACAATAACCCTACATTTAATTATATGTTTCTACTTCCTCTCTCTGTCTCCTGTAGGTTGATAAATGACAGTCATTTCATTTTAAATTTTCTTTTAGGAGCGTAGAGTGGCAGCTCTCCAAGAACTTGCCCGTCTCTTGAGACCTGGTGGGCAGGCCCTCATATATGTTTGGGCAATGGAACAAGAGTATAAAAATCAGAAGTCCAAGTACCTTAAAGGAAGGAAAACTAGCCAAGAAGATAAAGAGGAGATAAACAGTGACACAACCACTGCAGGACTGCTCGTAAATCAAACGCCTGACGGAGGCAGTGAAGACCAAGCATCGCCTGTCCCCACCACTGATAACATCCAAGAGGGAGAATGTAAGCCAAGGAAAGTTCCTAGTTCTGAGCTTCCTGTTCACACGAACAGGACTTCCTTTCAGTCCCAAGATGTGCTGGTTCCTTGGCACTTCAAGGGAAACCCTAGTAAAGACAAAGATGTTGAGCCATTCAGCTTAGCAGGATCCCCTGACCCAAGTCCCGTGTTTCATCGTTATTACCATGTTTTCTGTGATGGAGAATTGGAGGCTTCCTGCCAGGCTCTGGGTGATGTTAGCGTTCTGCAGAGCTACTATGATCAGGGGAATTGGTGTGTTGTTCTTCAAAAGGTCTGATCATTTATCTGAACATATCAGGTGTAAAAGGAAAAAAACTGCCTATCTGTTTTTGAGAAGGAGGCTAAATTATCGCTTTAATTAGTGAGGCAACTTGGGGGACATTACCAAAGGAGAGTTGAGAGCAGAGATTACTTAGGTAACATTCTGTCTGCTACTATTGACTGACTTCATAAACCTAGGTTCCTCTTACATGCCTTCTAAGTATGGTGTTTAAAAGTGATTGGCTTTAACTTGTGAAAGGCCTGTGATCTTTGTGTAAGTGTGCAGCATTTTGAAGATAATCTTTTGTTATAAAGTGTTTATTTATAAAGATCCTATACTATGTAGGATCGTAATGAAACAATTATGTGACCTTTTAATGAAGTGAATACTGGACAGTAGGAAATTATATGACGTTTTATCAACAGCTGTTTGTTCCGAAAAAATTGTAGTAACTTTCTCACTGGATCTTTCTAGTACATTGTGGATGCCCAGTAAAACTTTAGCCAGGTGATTCTCTGAATTAATAGAAACTTCATTCAACAGATATTCTTTAAATTCATACTATTTACTGTTAAGTACTAGGAATGGAGTTGTGAGCAAGTAAAGTAGGTTGGTGTTTAGCTTAGTGAAAGAACATGTGTTTCTAATTGAAGCTCTGGATTTAATATCTGTTACCACAAACATACACACCAGCAGAAAACAAGAGTGAAGCCGTTATTCCTAGGAAGCTTACCTTCTAGAAAGAGAGGCTGACAAAAGCAAACAGATAAGTAAATATTGTGTTCATTGTAATCATAAATGCTGTGTAAAAAGGTATATTGGAGGCTGAAAGGGATATTAACTTTTGAGCAAAAGATTACTTTTTAATGGCTGAAGTAACTAGCAATCCTGACTGATTTATTACCAGGAATCACTATTCCTGATCTATTGGTTTAAGCTTTAAAGACAACTCAAATAGTTCCCTTTAACAGTTAAATTCCAGAAGTTAAAATTTATCAGCCACACCAAATTTTGCTCTTTCAGTCACAATTGGCTATTTTTCCTTATTCATAGTTTGTCCCAATCCAGGAAGAATGGAGGCATTTTTATCTAGTCAGTGAAACCAAAAGCATATTCATGGAAAGTCCTAGTAAGATTGATCAATATCTAGCCAGACTGAGTTGACCAGGGAGAAACTTTTATGATTTTTGTAATTGGCTCAATCAAAAAACATAATTAAAAGTAACATGTACATGTTTTAAGACCATCACTTGATTAAAAAATGTTTATAATTAACAAATTAAAAATTGTAGTAGGGCCCTTTCAAATAAGACTTCTATTTGAATATACAGTTTTCTTTTTCTTTTCTATTTTTGAGAGAGATCTCATGTAGTCCAGGTTGCCCTCAATCTTGCTCTGTAGCTGATTCTCCTGCTTTCACCTCTCTAGATTCAGCCTAAGTATAGCTTAAAATTATATATATTGAAAACACTAAGATGTTGTTTATATATTAAAGCAGTAGTTCTCAATCTGTAGATCATGACCCTTTGGCAGTCAAACTACACTTTCACAGGAGTTGCCTAAGACCATCAGAAATATTAGGTATTTACATTAGTATTCATAACAATAGCAAAATTACAGTTTTGAAGTAGCAATGAAAATAAATGTATGGTTAGGAGTCACTACAACAAGAGGGGCTGTATTAAAGAATTGAAGCATTAGGAAGGTTAAGAACCATTCTATTAAAGGAACATGTGGACCAGTAAGATGCTTAGTTGATAAAGGCATTTGCCACCAAGCCTAATACCCTGAGTTCAGTCCCCAGGACCAACATAGTAGAAGGTGAAAACTGACTCCCACAAGGTGTCTTGACCTTTGTACCCATGCACATACACATACACATACACATACACATACACATACACATACACATACACATACACATACACATACACATACACACACACACATACATAATATATATATATATATATATATATATATATATATATATATATATATATATATATATATATATATATATTTTGAGACAGGATCTCATGTTCTAGTTCTGTCTATTCCAGAACTAGCTGAAATGATCAGGCTGGTCTCGAACCCACAGAGATCTGTCCGCCTCTGCCAAGTGCTGGAATTAAAGGTATGTGCTACTACTACATGTGGCTGAATACATTAAAAAAAAAGATGTAAAGCTGGGTGGTGGTGGCTCACGCCTTAATCTTAACACTCTGGAGGCAGAGGCAGGAGGATTTCTGTCAATTCAAGGCTACTCTGATTGGCAAGTTCCAGGACGGCAAGGATTACACAGAGATTCCCTGTCTCAAAAAACCAAAGGGGGAAAAAAGTTATTAGCTGGTTCTAAATCAAAGTTTGAATATCTTTTGGTTAATTTAAGTTTCCATGTAAACATGTTAGCAATGTTGATTGACCATAAGAAGAAAATTTCTTAAAATACATATTGACTCTTTAAGCTAATTTGAATATTTCTTTATTCTTGGATATTTTAGAAAGAAACTTAAAGACAGGCATAGGGTCATTCTATAATATCATCCGCTCAAAAGTCTGAGCCCCAGAGATCAAAACTGGCTAGGGTTACATAGTGAGATCCAGACTAAAAGTGAAACAGAAAAATAAGAGAAATCTCTTCTGTGTCATTCCCATCATTTCTTCTCCTTTGAAATGGTATTCTTAGGTGTCAGTCAAGAGTAAAGTAAGAAATAAGTCCATTGTCCCTGCAGGACCTAAATGCAACTTACTGCATGTTTTCTACTCATAGAATTAAGAAGCGTTTATAGGTTTTTTTGTTACTGCCCATTTCCAGCAGCTTCAGGCTACACCTTTGTGATTGGTGTTTCCTTGAGACTAAAGAACTGCCAGTGTGAAAATCTTGGTAGCTTTCTCCCAAAGTCTTTAGTAGATAACTTTTCAACTTCTTCATAAAACAATTGTTATAAAGCAAGAGAAAATATAAACTATAACTAACAATTAGGATTTGTCAGTTATGACAATAATTCTGAAGAATTACTTTTCTTTAGTTAATGAAGGAAATGATCTCAAGTCTTAATAGAGTATCAAGATACTGTGATGTATTGTGTCTCATAATTTACAATTCACTGTATATCAACTTTTGAATGAAAGTTTCTAGGGGATGAGAGGAGCAATAATTTGATTAGAAATATTGGCTATCTGCATATAATTTTAAAACTTTATTATATTGGATCTAGCCTGTTCAAATCAGAACTCTGTGAGATAAAGGCTAAGAAACAATAATGGGACTATATCAATTTGATTCATGTTTTACATTGAAGAATTTTAACTGAAGTTTTGAAAATATAAATTGTCATAATCTGGTGGCAGGTGTGAGCATGCTTTACTTTTTTAGCTTCTGACTTCCTTTATACCTTCATGGCTATGTCTGTCCTGAAGTAAATTTGTCTTGTTATGTATTGTGGTCTGAACAAGAAATGTCCTATCAGAGGCTCATGTATTTAACTGCTTGGTCCCAGGTTGGTGGTGATATTTGGGGGAGGGGTTATGGAATGGTTACAATGTGGAGCCTTGCTGGAGGAAGTATGGAGGAGGGCTTTAAGGATTTATGACCTTGTCCCATTTCCTGCTTGCTCTTTCTTCTTCCTGTGTGTGTCTGATATATGATCCCTTAGCTCCCTACTATAGCCACCTGCTGCCATGAACTATCTTCCAATGGAACTGTAGGACAAAATAAACTCATTCTATAAATTGCTTTCTGTCATGGTATTTTATCACTACAACAAAAAGTGAGTAGTACACGTTTTTATGACAATATTTTCAAGTCAGATGTATTTAAAACCGAACTCCACCACTTTGTAGTTGTGAGAATTTGGCAAATTTATATCTGAAAGAGAAAATTATAATACTCAGTTGCAATTTTTTTGAATGGATTGATTACATGAGAGAGCATGACAAGTTCAGACATTGTACTTTTTACATAATGGACAATAAACACCAGCTTGTTCCATCCTCTTCTTCTGCCTTAACTAATCACCTGTAAGGCACATGGTTTTTATCTTACCTCATCTGTTTTTGAATGTCAATTCGGCATTGACATTCATTAATGCACCCCTATGATTCTGTCACTGTTAATTTACTGTTTGCTTGCTGCACTTCAGGGATAATTCTTGTTGGAGGGAGGAGTGGTTGGAGGGAGGAAGTGGAGGGAGTGTGAAACTCAATGGACTGTTTCAGAATAGACTGTAATCAATAAGAACAATTGATAAACATACATCATGTTCTGAAAGTGACATATTTTTCTTCATAGAGAAAAGATGTAGAGCAGATAAAGACGTTAAGAGAGGCCTGGTGGATTCCAACTTCTAAAAAGGTGTGGATGGTTCTCTATAAGAAGATGACATTTAAGTGAAGAGTTGACTGAGGTTGAGAGGTTAGTTATGTACTTACATAGGGAAGTAGAATTTCAGATAGAGGAAAAATTCTAAGGTAAAAGGCCAAAGAGAAGAACTATAAGGAAGACCTGTGGCTGGAACAAAAAGAGTGAGAATACTGCTATGAACACATGTGTTCATAGATGCAACCAACTGTAGACCAAAAACATTAGGAATGATTTTATCTATGTTGAGCATGCACACACACTTTAGTATATTTCCCACAGCGATGATGTTTGATCCTGATTGCTACCTTGAAGGGATTTAAAATCACCAAGAGACAGACTTTTGGTCATGTCTGTGAATACATGTCAGTGGTGTGTGTGTGTGTGTGTGTGTGTGTGTGTGTGTGTGTGTGTGTGTGTGTGTGTAGGATGGAACACAGGACTCATTCTCAGAATAGATAGCACATTCCTGTAGGTAGCCCAGATGTAACCAGGTCTAAGGAAAAAAAAACAGTTTTCACCTTCTTGTCTTCCTGTTTCTTTGTGATTGTTTCTGTTACTCTGTTGCCTTCCTTGCTGAACGTGGATTGAATTTGTGACTCTCCAGGGACTGCTGTGTCAGCTTCATGGACTGAGGCAACTAATGGTTTCTCTGCCTTTCCAGTATGCAGATGGCCATTGTTCAACTACCCAGCCCCTATCATGTAAACCAATCTAACAAATACCCATTTTATAATAAATATACATTTTGTTGGTTACATTACTCTAGAGAATCTCATCTAATATACTTATGAAACATTGTAACAAGTATATACATAGCTTATTTATATTGTGTTAAGTATTAGAAGTAAACTAAAGATCATTTAAAGTACACAGGAAGATGTGTGCCAGTTACACTCAAATTTTTCTTTATATAATGGACTTGAGTATCTTTGGCCCCCCCCCCCCCCCCCCCCCCCCCCACCCCCCCCCCCCCCCCCCCCCCCCCCCCCCCCCGCCACACACACACACAGATACTGTGTTACATTTAACAGGGGGTCTAGTGCATTCTTCAATCCTTACTGTGGATATCTCCCCCAGTTCTAGGATGTACAATTGGATTGGAAATATCCAGCAACTGGCACTGGGTTCTCTGAACTATGCAGTGTCCTATGCTACTGTTTAAGAAAGGACATCTGGAAGCCACTGGAAAAAGCTTCCTAAAAGCTAAGATAATATGCCTGCAAAGGTTGTAGAGATTAGTTCCACCACTAGTGCTGCAGGATGTATTTTCCTAGAGACTGGGGTAGTGATTTCTACCATACCCCCATTTCAGCTCATCTTTTTATACAGTATAGAAAATAGATGGATCTTGAATAATTATCAAAAAATGCAGCATGTCATGAGTCTTATGTAGCTACTATTTTAGATATGGGCTATTTTTTTTTATTTTTATTTTACAATACAATTCAGTTCTACATATCAGCCACAGATTCCCTTGTTCTCCCCCCCTCCCGCCCCCCCCTCACCTTCCCCCTAGCCCACCCCCCATTCCCACCTCCTCCAGGGCAAAGCCTCCCCCCGCGGACTGAGATCAACCTGGTAGACTCAGTCCAGGTAGGTCCAGTCCCCTCCTCCCAGGCCGAGCCAAGCGATCCTGCATAGGGCCCCAGGTTTCAAACAGCCATCTCATGCAATGAGCACAGGACCCCGGTCCCACTGCCTGGATGCCTCCCAAACAGATCAAGCCAATCAACTATCTCACCCATTCAGAGGGCCTGATCCAGTTGGTTACCCCTCAGCCATTGGTTCATAGTTCATGTGTTTCCATTCATTTGGCTATTTGTCCCTGTGCTTTATCCAACCTTGGTCTCATCAATTCTCGCTCATATAAACCCTCCTCATTCTCACTAATTGGACTCCCAGAGATCCACCCGGGGCCTAGTTATGGATCTCTGCATCCAGATCCCTCAGTAGTTGGATGGGGTTTCTAGCATGACAATTAGGGTGTTTGGCCATCGATATGGCTAATTTTTTAAGTAAACCAATACCTGCCCTTTACCTAGTATGCAGCTAAAACAACTACCAAAATATATTTTAACTAATTTTCTCTTTTCTTAGGTTTCTCTAAGTAAACATTGTATCATTTAAGTAGATTAAAATAATTAATTCTTTTTAGTGACAAACCCTGGTTTTTAATTTCTTGATCTATACTTTAATACAAAGCACAAATCTCTACATTATGCTTTACTTAGCAGCAACAATAGCTCATCAAGGCCTCCCAGAGAGCCAGCTCTCATAACTAGGTATTCAAAGGTCTTCCTTCAGACTCCTTTATTGATTACTTTCTTCTTTAAATGCTATACCATATATAGTCCTGCACCTCAAAATTTCAGGCTATGGATTGATTGTATCTTTTATTGTTCATTATCACTTCATATGTTTTGGTTCACCAAGTTTTTCTGATGGCTGCTCCCAAACATTTCATGTCATTTTCCTTCTGCCCTCAAGCCTTACCCCTCTCTGATTTTCTGCAATGCTGCCCAAGTGAGTTGTATAAAACCTAAAGATCTCTCACTTTAACTGAACTCTGTGAGTAACTTCTAATTCTTAGCAATAAATCTTGTATAAAATAATAATTTCTCATTCCTTTATTGCTGTTATTGGAACTATAAACTGATGGCTTCGATAGAGAATGAAAGGATGTGGATTTGAAACAAGAAAATAAATTTAACGTAGCAGTGGAAAAGATAACTGAGACCTATGGTCCATTTTAAATTTCAGTTTAAAGTAGACACAGATCCCTAAATGGTGTAGGTGTTTGGTCCTCTCTTCACAGAATGTTTATGCGAGTACAGATTTCCTTAAATGAAAAATCTGTGTGCCACCAGTTACATGACAACCTCCTTTATACATATTGCCTTAGTCACTGTTAGAGTGCTGTGAAGAGATACCATGACTGAGGCAATTCTTATAAAAGAAGACATTTCATTGGAGGCCTGCCCACAGTTTCAGAGGGTTAGTCCATTATCAACTTGACAGGGAATATGGCATAATGCATGGCACTGGAGTAGTAGCTGAGAAGTACATCCTGATCTGCAGACAGAGACCTCAAAGGCCATCCCCAGGGACAACACTTCTTCCAACAAGGCCAAACCTATCCCAACAAGGTCATTACTCCTAATCCTCAAGTCCTTTCACATAGCACCATTCTCCGATGAGTAAGCATTCAAATATATGAGGTTATGGGGACCATCTTTAATATAAAATAGCTTATTATTTTATCTGTAGATAAAATAATATGCATAATTTTATCTACAGAACAGAGCTGCTTTCTTTAGAACAAGGAAGTTTACAAATGTCTTGCTTCTTTTGTCAAATACTTCTTCAAGCAAGACATTATATATGGTCACTTGCCTTTAGAACAATATGGTAGTAAACAGTGGATATTAATATGTTTATGTGTGTCTTAATCATTTATCAACAATTAGTCTTTTAAACTATGTTTGGCCACCTGCTAAGATGTAAGTGATCAGGAGGAAAAAAATTCAAGAAAACACAAAGACCTCCTTGAAGATTTATAAAAACAAATTCTTTGTAACGTCTTTACATTATCATGGGTCTTTCCACCTAATAAGCTAATTACACTGATTATGTTTCTTTTCTCAACATTCGTTTTGGGGCTATAACAGTAGGACAGTTGACTGACTTGATTCTATACACAATGAATGCTCTTATATTCTTTCTGCAATCTATAACTTCCATAAAATTTATTACAGACAAACAAGAGATAAATGTTAAAAAGAAATAAATATCATACACAGACAAAGAGTAGTTTAGTAATAGTAATTTAGCCCAAGTAACATTAAGGAAAAAAAAATCTTTTCAGAACATGAATTTTTTTAAAATGACAATGAAATAATAATGTGAATTACCCCATGATTTTGTGACATTAATCACACAAAATAGATGCATACTTGTGAGAATTTCCACCTAATTTTTCTATCTTTACAATAAAGATGGTAAACCATAAGGTTTTACTCTTAAGCCACAGAATGAAAAGTGTGCTCATAGCAAGTTTCATTGAATTATCATCACTCATAGGCTCATGGAGTCCTATCTTCTTTCATTTAAGAACTTGAAGAGTGGGTCACCATTTTATCAATAATACAAAAGTAAAAATTACCTAGATGTAAAAAAAAAATGTTTTTACAATTGAAATATTGATCATCTCATAATACACTGAACACAGTTTTTTAATCTTAGGCACATTTTTTACAACTTCTGTAACAAATAGCTCATATATACAGACATTAGCACCTTCAGATAAAAACTATTGTCCAGGGCTGGGAAAACTCAGTTGGTAGAGTGCTTGCCTAACATTCATGAAGCCATGG